TATATATTGTCACATTTTTTTCTCTGAGCTACCACAAGATCTTGTATATATTCCCCTGTGCTACACAGTATAATCTTATGTATCTATTCTACAATGACTTGGATTTCAAAATTATTTTCGATCTTTTTAACTTTATAAAAAGGCATGTAATCTCTTGAGGCTGACTTTATAGACTTAATATTATATTGCTAAAGTTTACTGTGTATTTTTGGGGGTGACTGCTATATAGTGTTCTGTCAGGTGATGGTATCAGTTTTCACATCTACTCTCTTGATGATGGAGTGTTGCTAATGTTCAACTTCAGGGGATAATTTCAAACTATTTTCCTAAGTGGCAGCCTCCGTTTACTTTCCCCTGCAATGTAAACAAGATCTTTTGGAGCTGTGTGGTTTCTGATATTTAGTGTTGTCTGACTTTTACATTTTTGCCAGTTGAATGGGTTATCTCAAATTTCTTAATTTGTATTTCTCTGATATTGAACATTTGTTTATATATTTATTATTTCCTCTCTTGAGAAATGTCTGTTCATATCCTCTGCCTGTTGGATTGCTTGTAATTTTCTCATTGACTTCTAGTAGTTCTTTATATATTCCTTGATAATAATCCTTTGGTTGTGTTTCCCACCTTTAAAAATCTGTCTTCCAGGTATCTTTTGATGACTAACAGGTCTTAATTTGAGTATAGTTAGATTTACCCATTTTTATAATCAATATCTTTGTGTCTAGTTTAAACTTTACTATCTAAAGGTCTAAAAGAAGTTCATCTATATTTTCACTGAGTTTTAAAGTTTCCTTTTTTTCCAGTGGTGTGAGAGGAAGATTAGGGACCCAGTTTCCATATGGATGACCATTTTTTCTACCTCCACTTACTGAATAGTGACCTTTCCTTATTATCTGACATATTATCTCTGTCATTTTCCACAGCTCCGTCTATGCATTGATTTACTTCTGGGCTCTCTTTATATTCCATTGGTCAGTATATCTATGCTTATGCCAATACCACACTTTCCTAATCACTTGCTCCTAAGAAGTCCTGGTATATGGTTAGCAGGTCTCCTTTTCTGCTTTTCCTCTTTAGAAGCTGTGGCAGGCAGCCTCTAGCATGGCTTCTTATAATCCAGCCTTCTGATGGTCACGCCTTCGTGTATTCCCCTGCCCTGGAATGTGGTCTGGAGCTAGTAACTTGCTTTTAGCAAATAAATGTTGGCAAAAATGATGAGATGTTACCTCTAAGATGAGGTTATAAAAGGCCATGGTTTCTGTCTTGGGCTCTCTCTCTCACTTGCTCATTCTGAGGGCAGCCAGCTGCCCTGTGAATTATCCTACAGAAGGTAATACTGATGGAGCAAGATTCTTGAGCCGTGGGGAGGGGTGGATTCAAGAGACTAGTTGAAGAGATTAATACTGAGCTGGAGGAGGAGCCCCTCAGCCTCTGAGGCTGTGGGGCAGATACAAAGGGCAGTCTGCACATAACTGTCTCTGAGAGTGTGTCTAGGTAGTGAAGAGGGCAGAGCACCTGAAATTTCAGCATGAAGCACTTTGATGAATACCTGTTTTTTTCCTTATTCTCTGTGGTTAAATGCATAGTGATCTAGTGGAAAGAGCACTGTACTGAAGCCGTAGACCTGGGTTCTGGTCTTGGCATTGACACTTAACATGTTGTTTGATGACTGGCAACACACCTAATTTTTCTGGTTTCGCTGTATCTTTTATTGAGGGATATAGATTATCAGTAGATAATGTATAAGTTCCCTTCCAAATCAAAGCTACCATAATTGGGTATTTTCATTGTGTGTCTTCCATAGAACTGTATGAAACTCGTTTTTAGATTTCTATTAAGTATTTTTTGTACATGTGCTTTGTTATGAGAATTGTTTGTTTGATATATCAGGCTATTCATGCCCTTCTTTGAGAAGCTTCTTACTGTGGGATTTTTCTGTGTGTTTGAGAATCAATACACAACAATTTTACTCATACCATTTCCAAGCCTTCCTCTGTCTAAGAGACTTCATTCATTCCTTAAATCTCTCCTTTTGTGTCTTTTAATTACTGTAACAAATACCATCCTAGTATTATTGTTGTATTATTTGCTTGGACAAGGAACTACCATTTAGAATTAACCTAAATTTAATCTTAAAACATAAAATAGTCTATGTGAATCAAAATCTTTTCAAAAGTTCAGAAGTACTATTTGTGTCCTGTTAATTTCTAGTTTTTCCCAGCTGTTTGTTATTGCTTTTCTAGCTTCTTAAGCTTGTCTTTTTCTTTAAATAGAATTAGTTGGAAAGATAACTTAGTGACCTATTTTTACACCTTTGCACTTAATAACTCAGAGGGCTTAAGTCTACATGTCTTGCTTTTATATAAATATAAATATATTATGCAGTAAAATTTAGCAAACAGCACAAATGAGCCCAAAAACAGATGAGACTTATTTTGCCTTTCATGCCGTAAAATTTTCTCAACTCAAAGCATGCAGATAACCTTTAGCAAATAAAGATGTGTGTGTTTGTTTGATTTCCTTCCTCCATTTTTAACAGAAGTGACATTTTTAGGCAGAAGGCAAACTCTTATCTATTTTTACTTCCATGTGTACTTTATATATAAAATGTTACATATCTAACAGTCATGCTGCAATTTCAGATGTTTGTGGTTAATGTAGGAATTTTCCTTCATTAGTAACCCAGAGAAGAAAATTACTGACTTTGAATCTTTGGCAGCCTTGTATGGGGCAGAAATTCATTAAGGCAAGTCCTAAAAGTATTTGGGTAGGAATTTATGAAGGCAGCTCACCGTAAAAAAGTACACTTTTTCTAAATTTAAGAGAGCAAACAGCTCTTACTTTGTTCAATAATAAATCGTCTACAGAATAAATCACTCTGTGTTCACTTTTAAGTATCATTCTTTTTGGATAATGTTGCTTAGACTTTTTAATCTTTATGTAGCAAATGTTTATTGAGTGTTACGTGTCAGGAAGTGACCAAAGTGCTGGTGATAACGTGTTGATCCAGCCTCTTTCTTTTTTGAGATGTAATTGACATACAACATTATATATTAGTTTTAAATATAATGATTTGATATTTGCATGTATTTCAAAATGATCATCACATTGAGTCTAGTTAACATTCGTCACCATACATAGTTAACAGAATTTTTTTTTTGTGATGAGAACGCTTAAGATCTACTTTCTTAGCCACTTTCAAATATGTGGTACAGTATTATTAACCGTAGTCACTTCTGGATGCTACGTTCCCATGACTTACGTATTTTATAGCTGGAAGTTTGTACCTTTTAACTCCTTTCACCCATTTCACCCACTCCCGACCCACTGCCTCTGGTAACCAGCAGTCTGTTCTCTGTATCTGTGAGTTTTTGTTTTTGTCTTTGTTTTTTTAAGATTCCGCATATGAGTAAGATTGTATGGTATTTAAGACATCCTCTTGAAAGTAATGTTGTAGTACTAAATGTTGGCTTGGAAAATAAGTTTTATTTCACTTTTTTGGTAATTGTTAGATGAGAGCTAGTAAAAGCAGAATTGTCCTTTGTTCAGAGATTTAATTAACTGTGTAATTGGGGACCACCTCCGCTTACTTTCTTGTTAGGTAATTGAATAACAGGGGTGATGGAGTACTGATAAGTACATGAGGTTGTGTTAGGTCCCAGAAGGAGGACAGGAAAGCTTCCTGAAGGTGGTAGGAGACCATGTCTTAGTAGGATAACTCAGGTAGTTAAGCATGACTGCCTGCCTAGCATGTAGGTGCTTAATGATATCAGTTAAGGCCGCTAATAAACAAATGAACGTGTAGAACTCATGAGAGAAGAAGGGAAGGATGGAATACAAGGGGGAGGGTCTGCCTGCGTCATGAAGACCGTCCCTGTTTGCGCTTTTTTGCTGTCACTGATTGTACTGTCGTGAGTAGCCATGGAAGTGTGTCCTTGTTCTCACGTGTGAGTTTCTCTAAGGTCGAAGCCTGGGGGTAAAATGGCTGGGCTAGGACAGACAGCATTTACACCTCCGTCTCTATTGGTTATTACTGACTTGCTCTCTAGAAGGTTATCAGTTTGTGGTCCCACTGACAATATGTAAGTTTCCACAGACTAGGAGAAGAGATTTACTGACATGTGGCTGGCAAAGATTAATTCAGAATGTATAGATAACTTCTGTGACTCAAGGCAAAAACAAACCAATTAAAAAACATGGGCAAGGAATATGAGAAGGGCAATTCAGAGAAGAGGAACCCAGATGCTCAAATCTGTATGTAATCAGGGAAATTACAAATATAAAACGTGCTTGTTCATGTTTTATCTTAGTGATGCAGAGGCTTTTCAGACCGTTTACATTGTTTTTGTTTGACAAAAAGAAGGTGTTAGTTTGGGGGGAACCTTTGAACAGAGCTACAGCTAGCTCATAAAGTGCCTTTGAGTGGATTAAAAAATGGTACTCCCTCTGGTCATCCAAAAAAAGTCTCTTCATCAGAATTCAAGGTTCAGCAAATAGCATAAACAGGATTTCAGATGCACTTGTAGCAGGCATCCTTGTGCAAGGCACAGTCTGTAATATACGTGATTCCCTGGACCTGAATCATGTCTGTTGAGTCCTAGGTTTCTAGAAAGAACTCTGTAAAAATGACTGCTACGTGGATAATGTCATTGAAGGGCTTTGACCAGGGGAGTGATGCTGTGGGTTGCTCCGTGTGG